TTATAAAGAGTGTGAGATAGTGTGTGATAGTTCTCAGGTGTGAGCGTGATTAGTGGAATCAGCTGTGTGAGTCGTCAATGCAATGAATGACGGGGATTGTAGTGAAGTGCAAGAGTCCATGCTGTGAGTGGGTGACCTCTGGTGGTGATTGACCGGAAGTGTATGGACCAGATTCGTGACAAATATGACCACCAGTTCTGCAGACAAGCAGATGATAGTTCATTCTATGCTGTTGCTTAAGGGAGTTAAGTGGAAATAGTCCACTTTTTGCAGCAGTTTGTGAAATTGTAGAGCACACTCCGAATTGGAGCGCTTACCTTGACAGAGACAATAAAGACTTATTCACAGATCGAAAATGGGCAAGGAAAGCTTCAACAATAGGACCAGTGGTGGATGATGAAGCGGCCCGCACGGGTGCATGATGTGGATCTGGTCTTTTGTCGGAAAACCACAGAGAGGCAGGATGACAGAGAACCCAATAACCAGGGCCCAGTTGTTCAAACATAATCTGTTTGGATTTCAGATATCGGGATTGGAGGATTGGATCAAATCTTGAAAATGGGTGGTTCAAAAGAAAAAAGGGATTCTGAAATCAGATTAGATCTCAAAATCCAATCTTGGTTTTGATCTCAAATCATCAGTTTGTGTTGTTCATTTTTTTTTGTGTGTAAGATTTTTTTTTTTTTCCCCCAGCAGAAGGGTGGATTTCAGGAACAAAAAATTAATAAAACTTTTAAAAACTGGTCCAAAATACCCAGGTTTTTTTTTCCATTTTTCAGGTTTTTTTCTTCAGTTTTTCAAAACATTAATAAAAACTACCGTAAAAAGTATGCACTTTAACTTTAAAACTAAAAAAAACGGGTCCAAAAAAAAATAAATACAACATTTGTATCATGTAATAAACACATACACAGTTTTTTTTCTTTTGCTCTTGATTAGCTTAACTGTTAAAGCAAGAAATTAGAAGTAGACATTAGGCTATTAAACCTTCCCGGACCCTATACAGTAAATTAAAAAAGAGATTTTGGTGCCATAAAATAATCTCCAAACAGCTGTAAATATCAAACAAAAATATTATGTTTAATTTAAAGTATTTGTTTGGTAACTACATTATCAAAATCATTAGAGATGAACCATTCAAAAGTTCTTTGCGAGCAAACACAAAGATTATTGGGTGAATGCTAAGCAAAACTTTTCTGAGAGAATGCAAAAGCATTGATTTTTTTCCCCCTTAAATCTCATATTTTTTCCATCTCCATGTTCCGTTGAGCACTAGTAATCCATATTTGGTAATCTGAAAAAGTGTGTATCTGGATCAGGGTGATCCAATCCAATTTTGCTTTGAAAAACCGGCACAACATTAAGATGAATTACCTGATCCAGGATAGCAAAATCAGATCAATCTGATCCAGATTAAACTTTTTGAACATTGGTCCTGGAGTTTATTGCCAATTTGAACTGTGAAAAGGGTATTCAATAAAACAGAGGCTGATAGATAGAGGTCCTGCATTGTGCTGTATCAGACGTCTGATGTGCTGTTCGTGAACAAATCAGTGTTGTTTTGAAAATGACTCCGAATGGGTGACATTTCTGTCCCCAGGACATTATATGTATAAAAATGCATGAAAATTAACTCTAAAATACATTTTATTATTAAGCAAAGTGTCCAGCACATTAAGCTAACTGCAAATTTAATATGTATAATTAAAAACATTAATAAAAACTGCCTAGAACACTAAAAAGCACCCTCTATCTCTAAACTTTACCATGAAATATGATTAAAATCTCCCCCCTTTTGTCTTAACTTCCCTCTTTCTCCCTCCCTCTCTCTTCTCCTCTCTCTCCTTCTTTCTCTTTCCAAATCCTTCTCTGTGAAGTAGCTACTACTAAAACATAGTAAATCACTTCAACACAGAAATCTCATACACACACAGTCATGTACAGACACTCTCTCTCATACACACATATGGACCCTCATTCCTGTTACCCAATGTTCATTCCTGTTACCCAGTGTTCATTCATGTTTCCCAATGTTCATTCATGTTACCCAATGTAATGTTCATTCCTGTTACCCAGTGTTCATTCCTGTTACCCAGTGTTCATTCCTGTTACCCAGTGTTCATTCCTGTTACCCAGTGTTTATTCATGTTATGTTCATTCATGTTACCCAGTGTTTATTCATGTTATGTTCATTCATGTTACCCAATGTAATGTTCATTCCTGTTACCCAATGTTCATTCCTGTTACCCAATGTTCATTCCTGTTACCCAGTGTTTATTCATGTTTCCCAATGTTCATTCATGTTACCCAATGTTCATTCCTGTTACCCAGTGTTCATTCATGTTTCCCAATGTTCATTCATTTTACCCAATGTAATGTTCATTCCTGTTACCCAGTGTTCATTCCTGTTACCCAGTGTTTATTCATGTTATGTTCATTCATGTTACCCAGTGTTTATTCATGTTATGTTCATTCATGTTACCCAATGTAATGTTCATTCCTGTTACCCAATGTTCATTCCTGTTACCCAATGTTCATTCCTGTTACCCAGTGTTTATTCATGTTTCCCAATGTTCATTCATGTTACCCAATGTTCATTCCTGTTACCCAGTGTTCATTCATGTTTCCCAATGTTCATTCATTTTACCCAATGTAATGTTCATTCCTGTTACCCAGTGTTCATTCCTGTTACCCAGTGTTTATTCATGTTATGTTCATTCATGTTACCCAGTGTTTATTCATGTTATGTTCATTCATGTTACCCAATGTAATGTTCATTCCTGTTACCCAATGTTCATTCCTGTTACCCAATGTTCATTCCTGTTACCCAGTGTTCATTCATGTTTCCCAATGTTCATTCATGTTACCCAATGTTCATTCCTGTTACCCAGTGTTCATTCATGTTTCCCAATGTTCATTCATGTTACCCAATGTAATGTTCATTCCTGTTACCCAATGTTCATTCCTGTTACCCAATGTTCATTCCTGTTACCCAGTGTTTATTCATGTTTCCCAATGTTGATTCATGTTACCCAATGTTCATTCCTGTTACCCAGTGTTCATTCATGTTTCCCAATGTTCATTCATTTTACCCAATGTAATGTTCATTCCTGTTACCCAGTGTTCATTCCTGTTACCCAGTGTTTATTCATGTTATGTTCATTCATGTTACCCAGTGTTTATTCATGTTATGTTCATTCATGTTACCCAATGTAATGTTCATTCCTGTTACCCAATGTTCATTCCTGTTACCCAATGTTCATTCCTGTTACCCAGTGTTCATTCATGTTTCCCAATGTTCATTCATGTTACCCAATGTTCATTCCTGTTACCCAGTGTTCATTCATGTTTCCCAATGTTCATTCATGTTACCCAATGTAATGTTCATTCCTGTTACCCAGTGTTCATTCCTGTTACCCAGTGTTCATTCCTGTTACCCAGTGTTTATTCATGTTATGTTCATTCATGTTACCCAGTGTTTATTCATGTTATGTTCATTCATGTTACCCAATGCAATGTTCATTCCTGTTACCCAGTGTTCATTTCTGTTACCCAGTGTTCATTCCTGTTACCCAGTGTTCATTCCTGTTACCCAGTGTTCATTCCTGTTACCCAGTGTTCATTCCTGTTACCCAGTGTTCATTCCTGTTATGTTCATTCCTGTTACCCAGTGTTTATTCATGTTATGTTCATTCATGTTACCCAATGCAATGTTCATTCCTGTTACCCAGTGTTCATTTCTGTTACCCAGTGTTCATTCCTGTTACCCAGTGTTCATTCCTGTTACCCAGTGTTCATTCATGTTACCTAATGTTCATTCATGTTACCCAATGTAATGTTCATTCCTGTTACCCAATGTTCATTCCTGTTACCCAGTGTTCATTCCTGTTACCCAATGTTCATTCCTGTTACCCAGTGTTCATTCCTGTTAACCAGTGTTCATTCCTGTTACCCAGTGTTCATTCCTGTTACCCAGTGTTCATTCATGTTACCTAATGTTCATTCATGTTACCCAATGTAATGTTCATTCCTGTTACCCAATGTTCATTCCTGTTACCCAGTGTTCATTCCTGTTACCCAATGTTCATTCCTGTTACCCAGTGTTCATTCCTGTTACCCAGTGTTCATTCCTGTTACCCAGTGTTCATTCATGTTACCTAATGTTCATTCCTGTTACCCAATGTTCATTCCTGTTACCCAGTGTTCATTCCTGTTACCCAGTGTTCATTCCTGTTACCCAGTGTTCATTCATGTTACTAAATTTCCTTTATTTTCTAAAAAATAAATAAAGTTAACCCACTATTTTATCAGTTTTGTTTGGTCCATCATTTATTGCCTACTGTTTAATAAATAAAAATAAATAATAAAAAAATAAAAAAATTGATAAACTTGAGGCTTCGGTCTTCTTTAAAATGAAAAATTGGCTTAATTTATGATATTTTTGTCACAAATATAAATTATTTGAACATATAACCAACAATTTCTTTAAAATAAACATTTTCTTGTGGGGAAAACAAAGGAATTAATTTACATGTTTTTTAAATGGCATGTGAGTTTCGGTAACAGGACTGGTATGCGTCCATCTTCTGCTTAGAAATCTTAGAAAAAAATAAAGTTGAGATTGACCAATACACATTTTGATAGTTAAATATGTGTAGTAGTAGATTCAGTGTTGAAACAAGTTTAATTTTGAAGCACATGTTTTAAATTATAAACTGATTTGACTGACTAAATGATGAAATTCAGATCGATGACTAAATGATGAAATAGCCAGTCATTTAATGTGTTGCGTTGATATTTTTGTACCATCAAGAGAGAAAAAATTAAGATGGGGTGCTGGCCTGCTGGGTCAACTTGCCCCAGCAGGCATCTTTCCACATCTAATTAGGCTAATTATATTATCATGAAAAGCTACATCTTCATGTACACCATTATCCAGGGTGAATATAGAATATACTGGCTACGTTTTTCAATACAATAACACATTTAGCTGCTGATGTGTCGTTACCTCGCTCATGAACACTAGTGACGTTGCAGCCAGTGTGCGCGTTCTCGTGGAGCTTTTCCGGTGGCGTTTCCTGTGTTTGTAAACTGACCTGGGCTGGAATAAAAGAGCGAAATTGAGCAGTATTAAGGTAAGATTCATAAGCACTACGTGTATCGCTTCAATACAAATGATTACTGTTGTTGTTTTATCTCTTGGGATGATGTGGTCTCGTGCGCTTTTACAGGCCTCGAGAGATAGAGATTGGATTATAGAGAGCCATATGTACACGAAACACATTATCACACATGAACGCGTTTTAAATTAACTCCAGCTCGAACGAAAGCACTCATGACTGATTCGAGGTGTGCGGTGACATGTTTAGAGGGGTTCAGGTTAAAAAAGCTCACGAGAATGTAAGGATTAGTCGTGTTAGATGAGGATTGTTTGTTTGCGGGGGAGTTTTTAGTGCGAACATCAGCGCGCTGAGATGCTTTTCACATGCGTGTGTGTGTGTGTGTGTGTGTGTGTGTTCTTTCATCTGTTCTCATGCATTAGGCTACAACATGCATGGATGTCTTCGGTGTTTGTTTTTTAAACGCATAATTAAATTGTTATGCATGTGGCAGTAGATATAGTCGGTGTATGTTTTCCACTGCACCTCACTTTGTGGCTCTCTCCCATTAGCTGAATACTCGATCATCTCCATACTTCATGACCTGAATTAGACGTGTCAGATTAATGAGCAGGGTTGAGAAATATTGATCTCAACCTTTGATTTACATATGCCCCCCTTTTTGAAGGGGCTTGACACCTCTAATCACAAAGAGTGTGCTCACAAGGACTCTTTTAAAGGGATAGTTCTCCCAAAAATAAGAAAATCTGTCATTAATTACTCACCCTCATGTCATTCCAAACCCGTAAGAATTTAGTTCATCTGTCCCTCCGTGGACAGTCTACGCAAATTTTCTGAAGAGTCTCTGTCCCTTTATATTATGAACAGATTTAATTTAAGCTTTTATTCACATATAAACACTAATCAGCAAACTTAAACAGAAACTCAACTGAACCTGATTGATGCACGAGAACAACCCTCATTGGTTCTTGCAGAAGCTCAAACGTGCTGCGAAACACTAGAATAACCCTCATTGGTTCTTTTTGAAGCTCAAATGTGCTGCAAAACACAAGAATGAACCTCATTGGTTCTTGCAGAAGCTCAAACGTGCTGCAAAACACAAGAATGAACCTCATTGGTTCTTGCAGAAGCTCAAACGTGCTGCGAAACACTAGAATAACCCTCATTGGTTCTTGCTGAAGCTCAAACGTGCTGCAAAACACAAGAATGAACCTCATTGGTTCTTGCAGAAGCTCAAACGTGCTGCGAAACAGAGAATGAACCTCATTGGCTCTTTTTGAAGCTCAAACGTGCTGCGAAACAGAGAATGAACCTCATTGGTTCTTGCAGAAGCTCAAATGTGCTGCGAAACAGAGAATGAACCTCATTGGTTCTTGCAGAAGCTCAAACGTGCTGCGAAACAGAGAATAACCCTCATTGGCTCTTTTTGAAGCTCAAACGTGCTGCGAAACAGAGAATGAACCTCATTGGTTCTTGCAGAAGCTCAAATGTGCTGCAAAACACAAGAATGAACCTCATTGGTTCTTGCAGAAGCTCAAACGTGCTGCGAAACACAAGAATGGACCTCATTGGTTCTTTTTGAAGCTCAAACGTGCTGCGAAACAGAGAATGAACCTCATTGGCTCTTTTTGAAGCTTAAACGTGCTGCGAAACAGAGAATGAACCTCATTGGCTCTTTTTGAAGCTCAAACGTGCTGCGAAACACAAGAATGAACCTCATTGGTTCTTGCGGAAGCTCAAACATGCTGCGAAACACTAGAATGAACCTCATTGGTTCTCGCACATCAAGCGAGAATGCTTGAGCTTCTGTTTACCACAACTGTACTTTTGACAACCCAGCGTGTAGTTGATCCCGATAAGTGCTGATTGTCACAGATATAAACACGAGGCTTTCTTTTTCCATGAGGGGGTTTGGCATCACGACGGCTTTGTTTCCTGGCAAAGCGTTTAAGAACACGACACACACATCTCACAGAAATCCTGTAGAATTCAACCAATCAGAAGATGACTTTCAAACTCCAGAAGTGTTTCCAATTTTCTATCCCATATGCATCAGGCTTTCATCCAGCATATTTGGGCATTAGACCTAGCAAAGAAAACTCCCTTTCTCCAAAGCAATCCTGGTTTAAGTGGATGAGAGCCTGTAATTACTGTTACGCACTCTGATCAGTCTTAGAGCACTTGCTGTTTTTTCTTTGTGAATGTCTCATGTTTCTACTCTAATTCATCTTTGTCACCACAAAGAAAAGACATTGCTGCCCCATGATAGAGTCCGGTGAGACTTGTGTGACACTTGGTCCGAACTGACGTCTCATCTCCACATCTCGCCTGTCTCTCAACCGCTGTCTGCCACCATGTCACACATACCCGGCAGCTCGGTCCGGGACCACATGAAATGGGTTAGTTCTCTTCGCGTTTCATACAGGACGTGCATGTTTTTTTTTCTTCCTAAATTGACTTTGCTTTTCACTTTAAATCAAGTTCCAAATCCCTTAGTGGAACATGTTGCCAAATGAGTTTAAAGCAGTACGTGAAATGAAGTCTTTTACATTGAAGGTAAAGCGGTGATTTAAAATAAACCAGAACTGCACGCATATTTAAATGTAATAAATGTTTGTTTTAATTAGTTATTCATGCCAGGGTTGGAAGCATCCTTAAAATAGGTACAGGTCATTTAGGTATGTATTTGTATGTGTATAAAATACATGTTGTATTAGCTTTATTCTATGATTAGTAGCTTTTATTGTTTTAGAAAAGCCTTTCTAGGGACCCGAGATGCAAATTAGCTCTCGATGTGCAATACATATTTTCCAGTTTTCGACTGGAATCATGTTTTTTTTTTTTTTTACTGTGCCTATATAAATAACCTTATAAATAAATAAAATAGTGCTACGTAAAGTAAACACTTCCAACAACAGCTGGTCTTATATTCTCGGTTCTGTCTTGATGTTGTTTTCCTAAGGCAGGGCTGTTAGGTTGTGAAGCGGTGTTGTCCAGCATGGCTCTGATGCAGGCCAGTTCCATGGCAGCTCCTAAGAAAATGATGTCTCCGCTGGGTCCAGCTTCAGGACACGGATCCGCCCAGAGCGTACAGGACCGCGGGACGCAAGGACACATGCTCTTACCAGCGGGCATGACCTGTCCTCCACTGGTTAGGAGACCCCTTCAGATTAGTGTACAGTTGCAAATAGGTTATTTTGTGCCATCTGTAAAAGTTTACAAACTTCATATTAACTAGCGATAGACTGAAATATCGCTCAGGCTGATTAATCGTCTCATAATTAGACATTTTTTATTATATCTAGCACAAAACTATATTTTCTGCTAGTATTTCTCAAGGTAAATTTAGGTGTCTTTCCAAAAAAGTACAAAGGAGTAGGTTTCAAAAGTACACCAAATAACCAAATGATATAAGGAGTCCATACTTGGTATGAAATAAATGTATTTTAAATACTTTTTTTTTTCACTAAGTAAACTACAAATCCATTAACATATCTACTGACATAACACTTGAGACTTACTGATATAAATATAATTAAACTTAATTTGGAGTACTACGTTTTTTATTGCATAATGCACATTTCTTAATATTAAGCCTTAAAATGTGTTCACTATAATAATCACTATTATTAATCTTCAGAATATGACAGAGCTTGGAATGAATAATTCACTGAAAACTGGCTGTGTGTCACTGTTCTCACATTGTAGATGCTCAGTTCGAGAAGCTCCCGACTTCTAAACATCTTTAATAACCTCTTATTGTTTGAAAGACTACAGGGAACATTGCACTTTTGTATTTGTTTTTCCAGCACAGGACCATTTAAAAGTTGTCTAGAAATTATGATTTTTCTTAAAATATATGGTGATCAGTTTCAGTGCCTAAGATATAGGTTCAATACTTAAAATATTGATTAAAAAAAATACTCTATGGGCACATTATGCATCATCATGCATCATCTACCCAGTAACAACCTGAAGCTTGATGACCTCTACACACAACTAATGTGTGATTATTGGCACAAAATAAACTTTTAAATGCACTCTTTCAGGTTGTTAGGAGATTGTTTAAATTTATTTCAGAAATTTTATAGAGTTGTATAAAAATTCAGAGGTGTTTATTCCTCAAAGGTTTGTAATATATGTGTTTGTGTGTCCGTAGCTTCTGCGGAAGGAGGGTGATTTTACAGCTCCTCGAATGCTGGACGAGAAGGAAATGAGACCCAATGAAGACATGCAGCTGAAGAAAAAGAACAGGAAGTCGGGAACACCCTCAAAAGTGAGAGAGCAGGACGGGCAGGCGGGGAAGGTCAGTGTGTGTGGGGGTGGCGTGTAGTGTAGTGTGTCACAGTCCTGTGAATGCATTGCCAGTCGGCCACAAATCACACAAAGTTTACTCTAATGCTCTGCTTTCTGTGAGACATTTGAGTTTTGCAGTGTAGTTCGGTCGCATTGGAGGGTTTCTGAGAGTATTATAGAACATATTTGTACTGGATTTGACATTGCAAGCATTTGGACGGTCTGACCCTGTATGGTAATGGTGTGTTTGTGTTGTTGTGGGGGAGGAGATGGCTGGTTTGGGTCAGGGGGGGTGGGGCGTCTGTAAGGGAGGGGAACGCTGAAGCACAATAACGGTTATTGTGTGTTTTCATGGCAGCAGTGTCTACTGGGATTTAAAGGGCTCTGATGTTTTAGGAATAAAGCAGATCTGCTTCTTGTGAAGTTTGTTACTTAAAGTTTAGGTTATTTTATCTTTGGAATCTTTTGTTAGTTGATTTTTATGTTGTTTTTGTGTATTCATTTAAAGGAATGGTTAGTCTAAACGTGGAACTTTACTAACCCTGTGTGTGTGTGTGTGTGTGTGTGTGTGTGTGGGGTTCAGGTATTCCCTACACTGTGGGGACAAGAATAATATTAAAACCTGACATTTTTGATTTTGTGGGGATTTTTTTTTTGTCCAAAAATAATATTGTACTGCTTTCTGGAAATAACTCTTATGCATGCAGTTGCAGTGTAATTGTCTGTTTTGCTATTGTTTTCTCCCTCCTTGGATAATCATATAACTGTCAGTGATATAGATTCGTAAGCAATAAATATAATTATATCTTTGTAGTAGGGATGCACATATACTTTTTAAAAAAAGACTAGAGTATAATTAGCAACACTTTTGGGTACTTACCCAAAACTTGTATTTTAGTAATGCTGTTTTTTTTTTTTTTTAAGAAACAATTTATTGAAAATGAAATAGTAACTACATGGAATAGAGTGATCAGTGCATTAAATAATATGTCTTTCATTAATTTTCCTTGTAGGCGGTTGTGGATGAAAATGGAAATTGTCCACTTTCAAAAGTCCAGAAGAACTTTATCTGTGATCACTGCTACGGGGCCTTCAGGAGTGGATACCACCTGAAGAGACACATTCTCATCCACACTGGTATGAATATCACAGCTTTATGGACTGCAAATATATTTACTGTAACAAATATGTTCATGGATTATCCACATTTAACCTCGTTGACACACATCCATCACATATTCACACTTTTATCATGTTAGATTTTGGTGATATGTCAATGCGTTCTGTTGTTTTTCTCACAGGAGAAAAGCCGTTTGCTTGTGCCGTGTGTGACATGAGATTTATTCAGCGTTACCACTTGGAGCGACACAGCCTCACTCACACTGGTACAACTTCTTCCACTTTGCATCTCCGTTCTGACTTTAAACTGTGCCTGTTACCTTCAACATTGGTGATTTGACAGAAGTAAATACTGTACTTTTAATTATTTGTATGCGAACAATGAATTATTGGACTTTTGTGGTTTATGCATAAAATACCCAAATGTCTAAATACCAGAAGAGAGAGACGGTTTTCTTAAAGCTGCACTACAGAAGATTACATTATTGAGAAAATACATAACAAATAAGTGTTCAAGTGTGAGGAAACACAGCTGATGTAAAATAACTACTCTGCAAGTGATGTGCAATTTCATGTGACTGCCACAGATGGTGAAAATATGGAAGCTTGTTTCTAGTACTAAATAAAAAAATGTAAAAACATAATTGCGACTTATGTCACACATCAGACCTTTTAAACAGAATTGCGAGATTATACTCTCTAGAGCTGCACGATTAATCGTTAAAAGATTGTGATCTCGATTCAAACACCCACGCCATCTTATTCCTAAATTATAATTATTCACTTGTATATTAAACCTTTGACAAGTACGATCACAGCGAACATTCAGATCTGTGTTTGCCCGGCCGCTGATCCAGAGAGAACAGTTGTCATGTTTAGGTGTGAAACAGCTTCACAAACAGTCTTTTCAACCACACAGTATTGTTATTTCTCTTACAATAATGCAAAATATTACAAGTGCTGGGATAAAAGTTCATAGTTCTGATATAAACACTGATGTCTATGTCAGTCATCAAAAAGTAAATCACCTTTTGCACATAACTTGAACTTCAAAGAATGATCGTATTAATTACATCATTACACCAGTAGGTGGCGACAGGTGACTGTTAAATCATTCTTTCAAGAGATTTGTTCAAAAACACTGATTCATCTAGTAACGAAACAAGTCTTTGAGTCATTGAATCATTCACTCAAACCATTTATTTTTTTAAACATTCATTCTAACTGATTAATATTTTGTCAGATCCTCTTGTAATTTACATTTTATTTTATTTAGTTGTCTGTTCAGAATCGTAGGAGAATCGTGATCTTTATTTTTCAAACAAAAAAAAGTGTGATTCTCAATTTATCCAGAATCGTGCAGCTCTACGTAATTCTACACTTTTTCCTCACAATTGTAAGATATAAACCCGTTATTGTGAGAGGGTCTGAATTGTGAGATATAAACTAGCAATTTAAAAAGTAATTGCAACTTTTTATCTCACAATTCTGACTATATTTCTCAGAATTGTGAGATGTGTGTGTGTGTGTGTGTGTTTTAGTTTAGTTTAGTTTAGAGCTTTATTAATCCCCGTGCGGCAATTAGTTTGAGCTTACATGGTGCCTCACATAAAACACTTAGCACATACATTCAAATACATAAAAAAAGAGTAAATAAAGAATAATAAAAAGTGTGTGTGTGTATATATATATATATATATATATATATATATATATATATATATTAATATATATATAATCTTGCAATTGTGAAAGTCATAATTGTGAGATTAAAAGAAACAAACTTCCATATGAAAAAGATGCCAAAGTTCTGTAGTGCAGTTTTTATGCCAAGTCTGTTCCCTGTACATTTGATGTGTTTTTTTTTGGTTTTTTTAACCATCGTTTAATGACTATTTAATGACGCCTGTACCAGTGATGATCAGACACATTTTTCATCGAGCAAAGTTTAATGAACACTGTGCGAAACTTGACTTTTGAGCATTATTCTGGAGTAGGCATTAAAGCAAAGATCATGTACTATATCTTAAAGCAGCGAAACCCTTGCGGGTGTATTAAGCTTTACATTTGTTATGTGCAGGGTTTTGATTCTGTGTAGACGATCATTGAATTTGCCACTCTGTGCGTTTAGGAGTGAAGCCATATGCTTGTTCCATGTGTGACATGCGGTTTTTCCAACGTTACCACTTGGAGAGGCACAGCCTCACTCACACTGGTATGTGTCATTACATTGGACATTATTTCAAAAACATTTTAAACATGAAATGGAATAGTTTTATCTTTGTTTAGTCTTGCACACAAATCACATCATTATGTTGTTTTTGATCTACATTATAAAAACCCTAAAAGCTGCTCTCATTAGTCTTTTCAGTGATATAAACCGAGAATGGATACTCGTGTATTTAAACAGAGTCACAGATCATAGCCGTCTACACAGAACAAAACCTTGTTTCTTTTTAAGATTAAGGTTTTGCTTTCACGCCAAGTACAATGGCACAAAACACAAGTGTAAAATACTTTCAAATAGTTGTTGCACTAAAGCTATTCACAACACATACTAAATTTTAGTTTTTTAAGCATTTGAGACATTAGAAAGTTGACCCAGCCTCCAAATAAAAAGTACATTTAAAGTTATCCCAGGAATACATTTCAATAGGGTTTTAGAAAAGTTTCAGAATAGTTTAAGATGTATAGACATCCATTAAAATGGAACCTAGTACTCTGCTAATATGATGCTTACAGTTTCTAGTTAGCAAAATTGCTGTACTTTTGAGTAATTTATCATATTATGTAATGCCAGACAGCTTATTGACATTTTGTTCTGCGTTTAGGTGTCAAACCATATGCTTGCACCATGTGTGACATGAGATTTTTCCAAAGATACCACCTTCAGCGACACAGCCTCATTCATACGGGTACAAGTCATCTCTTACCCATGTGCTGCTGCTGCTGTCTGCATTGCTTTTGTTTGTTTCACTGGCATTTTTGAACCATGCAGTGTTACGCTCACTCTGCAGTTTCACAGCTTTCTGCTTTCGCTGAGAATTCCTGCACACGAGCCTCGTTGCTTTTTTAGCATGCTAGATATCGCCTGCATGACGTCTGCTTTGTCTGTGAGGCAATCACAAGTTCATGCTTCATATTTAATCTTCACAAAAAACACTTTTCTATTTCACCTCTATATTCCAAAGGGCTGATCTTTGTTCTAAGAGCTAATTTCCATGAACAAATGTGTGTGATTACGGTTGGGTTTTGGCCTTCAAATTGCGCAAATTGAAAATACGCCCAATGGAAGCACGTCAGTTTCGCAAAAACTTAACAAAAAAGTTTTTGCATATTTACAGGTCAACTGACGTAGTTGACGCGGTATGTTTGGACAGAATACAACAATTCGAGTTCTTTATTAAGTTTGCAAAAGTTTTGCGCAAATCTGTAATGGAAACGTGCCTAGAGTTAAAGGGGTAGTTCACCTAAAAATGAAAACTCTGTCAGTAATTACTCTCCGTCATGTTGTTCCAACCCCGTTAGACTTTCGTTCATCTTCGGAACACAAATTAAGATATTTTTGATTAAATCTGAGAGCTGGATCACTCCTCCATAGGCTTCTTAAGGGATCGAAACTGACCGGCCCAAAAGTTATGAAAGACATCGTTAAAATAGTCCGAGTGACTACAGTGGCTCAACCTTAAGTTTATCAAGCGACGAGAATACTTTTTGAGCCTATGGAGGACTGATCCAGCTCTCAGATTTAATCAAAAATATCTTAATTTGTGTTCCGAAGATGAACGAAAGTCTTACGGGGTTGAACAACATGACGGAGAGTAATTACTGACAGAATTGTCATTTTTGGGTGAACTTACCCTTTAAGTACTGAAGGTACACTCAAGGTCTGGCTCCCTTCAATGTTGTTGAAAAATGACATCTTTCCTATTTCCCTCCCTATTTCCCTCTAACTCCACCATTTGAGATGAATGTGCATTTCTACTAGTGTTGTCAAAAGTACCGACTTCGGCACCAAATTGATACTGAAATTAAAAAAAATGTGACGATACCAGCATTTCCCTCTAACATTTCGAGCGCTGTTGAACGGATTCTTAAACACCTCTGATTGGCCATTGTATTCACAAGCTCAACATATATGACTCTGATTGGCTACAATGATCAACGCTTTAAAAACATGTTGAAAATAGACGTCTTTGACACTCTTCACCGAGCACTTACACATACACATGGGAGCGTTTGAAAGCATACATCTATAAGCGTATTTTTTAGGGATCCACTGATAGACGCCTGCTTTCAAACGCTCCCGTGTGTATCTGTGTAATGACCGTCTGTTTACAACGTTTTTAAAGCGTTGATCATTGTAGCCAATCACAGCCATATATGTTGAGCGCGTGAACACAATGGGCAACCAGAGGTGTTTAAGAATCCATTCAACAGCGCTCGAAATGCTGTTATTGTCACATTTTTAAAATGCCAGTACCGACTTGGTAACGAAGTCGGTACTTTTGACAACACTAATTAGAAATTAGTGGCTTCCCCCCTAATAGTCGACCAAATGTTAGTCGATGAGGAGAGTCTTGACCAAATTTGAATTTGAATTTTAGAAAGAAAAAAAACAATGTTAAAATGGCTGGTCCATATGGTAATTAAATAGGACAGAAAATCCAAAGTGTGGGATCATTTAGAGATAGTAAAGGATAACCCTAAAAAGATGACGTGCAAACTCTGCAGGCAAACGTTCGCTTATCATTCATTTGAAAGTTGTAGCCCAACGTTAGCCACTTTACACGGCCGCTTGCTCTAAACTTTAAAGTTAACCTAGATAAATTTGTGCTATTATTAGGTGCATGCTTACTACATTTCTCTCTCTAGGCGTATCCACTGCAGAGATGAGAGTCAGCATCGTCAACTTCATCTTTGCAGCCGACACTGACTCGGAAAACACTAATTATTGTCATAAACATGCGACTAGTCGACTTAAATGTATGACTACCAGTCGAATAGGAAAATCTTTAGTCGGGGGCAGCCCTAATTTTTACAATGCAATCAATTTCACAGTCCAACCCTGGCAATCATTGGTCATGTGGATATTCATATTGAGTCTTATAAGCTCATTGACAAATTTCATAGTTTTACATTTGAAATGGAGCGAACAGTTGCCAGTCTTAAGTTATATCTTCTGCACCCCACTTTATTGACTTCATGCCCAATTTGGGCTTGGCAGTATGGCGATATATGTATCGTTATGATGGTATAAGATGCCGCAACAGAACTTTCTTTTTTGTGTATACTGTGGTATGCAAATATTCGTGGACGTGGCTAACTCAAGTTTCATGTTCACACAAACATGAAGAAAGATAAACACAGATCAGGAGAGCTAGGATTGGGCATTATGATGAGATATATTCCAATGATATAAAGTGTCAATCAAAAAAGTGTTGGAGTGATTTTGCGCGAGTACCGAATTGAGTTTCGTGACTAATTGAGCTTGAATGGTCAAATACACACAAAATTGTCAGTTCTGACTGTAAAAGAGTGAAAAACTTAAACATAGTTCAATCAAAACATCTCTTTAAAGCACAGTTTATGTCATTTGTATCTTTATTGTTTTTGTCCTGTTGTTTGGATTTTGCGTCTTTCTTTTAATTTTTAATAATAAAGATAAAATAACAAAAACAAGGATGAAAATTCTGGGCCGAAACCGAAAATTCAGGATGCACTTGGCTGAAAATAAATAATAAATTGGTACTAGGTTAATTAATCAAACTTATTTAATCAACCCCTAAATAGCTAAAACTGAGTTGTACAAATGTTTAAATTGCACATAAGGAACTGTTTAATGAACAGAATTGTTTCTACTCCAGTTTGTTGGTGAAATATAAACATTTAGATGACAATAAACTGCAATAACTTGTTTTCATGACAGATTTATTCAAACATACATTAAATAATGAAGACGCCACTATGCAATACAGTGCATATATTTATCAAAATGCTCTTCTCTAGAGTTATTTTTTCTAGCTACCTAATGAGTTTATGGACATTGAATAGCTTTGAGTTAAATGTAAGGTTAAGTGACATTGTAAAGCCTACAAGCTGTTTTATTGAAGTCTTTTCTCTGTGGAAACACTGATTGAGCGATTCCATGAGACTGGATTCATTTCAGTAAGTTGTAATGTATTTTTCAACATGCCTTCTGATGTTCACCCTAGTAGTAACGAGGAGATGAGATGATCAGTTCATGAAATTCGGTATCAAATTTATAGGCAAGACGAGTAGTTTGTTTAGGCATGGTTTGTAGGGAAATTACAAACCTGCGCACACATATTCAAACGAATATAACTATAGAATCAATTTTTAATGCGCATGTGAACGCCATCAGGCCACAGGTTCGTGTTTAAAGTCTGTTTAGAGAGACCGCCGTCGTCTTAGTGGCCCCTAATGTAATAACAAATGATAATTTCGCTGGAAGTGAATCAATCAAAACCAACTTTAGCCGAAAATAACATTATTCAAAATCGCTATAAAGCCAAAACAATCTTTGTTACCGTAAATTGTATGTTTATCTCTGTAAAGCTGCTTTGAAACAATCTCCATTGTTAAAAGCGCTATATAAATGAAGATGACTTGACTTGACGTGCGCTTTAGATTTAAGAAACCATATCATTACTAATTAAAATCGAGAAATCAGTTTTGTCAATCTATAGCTAGTCCACACAGCTGACATGTTTAACTGTTGTGACTTGTGCACGAAATAGTCGCTGAACACTGTCAAAACGTATTGTTTCAGTCACTGATTTCGGCCCTCCAAAACCATTTCTGCCGAAAATGTCCGGTGAAACAGCATGAAATAAAATTCCTAATGTTGTAAGGTTTTAGTCTTATCGCCTCCCCTTACTTCCAATCATTCATCCAATTTAATCAAGCCAACATCCATCCTGGTGTGTACACCACTTTACAAAATCGATAATTTTTTGGTTGGATATTATCTTTTCTTGTTGAATATCCTATTTCACTTATTAGCACATGTGTTGTGGGCCATGCACTTTAAGCTGTGTAACCATCTTTCATGCGCTTTCTGTGTGCTTGCAAGCAACTATTGCGCTCCGTTCTTGTGAAGCATGTGATTCCAGTAATGTCTAGCTCCTATATTGACATAAATGTGTTGCATATGCATGGTTTAAATCTGACACATGATTTGCTTTGGTCATTCAGGGGTGAAGCCGTATGCTTGCTCCATGTGTGACAGGCGTTTTTTCCAACGTTACCACCTGCAGAGACACAGCCTCACTCACACGGGTATGAGCCGTCTCTCCTTACCCTTTTGAATTGTTCTACCTGACTACACCGATGCACAGCTTAGCACTGTTGCCAACTTAATTAACAGTGTTTATGTCAATATATAAAGACATATTCCCCCCCCCCCCCCCACCCCCGACTGTTGCCTTTGCAATACAGACAGTTGTAATGTACATGAATGTTTTTTTTGACCTGTTTGAAACTTTCTACAATATTGTAAGCAGAGGGGAACATCCAAATATTTCTTCACGACACGTTACTAAAAAGTTGGCAGCAATGCTTTGTACACATTACTTTTTATAGTTTATACAAAAGTTTTCAAATATAGGTTTGGCTGCAACAAACTCGAGTTTGGCCATAGTTACAGACAATGCATTGGGGTGTTGGACATACTGAACGTTTTTATTCATCAAAGCGTAACACTCCGGTACTCTGTGTTTAGGGGTGAAGCCGTTTGCTTGTTCCATGTGTGACATGAGGTTTTTTCAGCGTTACCACCTGCAGAGACACAGCCTCACCCATACGGGTACGAGTCCAAGGGGGCAATGCACATTTAAGCACATTAAACACTTTAGTCCTCAGCCTGCACTACAGATATAGTAAACACACTCTCCATGGTTCTCCATGTGCATTATGGCGTTTTTTTGTTGTTTTTTTTGCCCAAAGGAGTAAACATTTTAATTTTCATTGTCGCCTGAGTTGCACCAATTTTATTTACTAGTACTTGTCCCCATAAACTGTTACTTTGTTTATTTAGGGGTGAAGCCATTTGCGTGCACAATGTGCCCCATGATGTTTTTTCAGCGTTGTCATCTCCAACGACACTGTCTCACCCACACGGGTATGTGTCATGTCTTGAAATCGCTGGCCCATTCTCAGGGAACTGTGCCATATCCCGGCACAGCATTTAAAAAAATGCTTTTATTTAAAGAGGTTTCTGCTGAACCAACAAAGAAATTATAGTTTAGCAAAACTAAAATATAGGATGTTGGCAAAACTCAGTTTGCCTCAGTTTTACGTTAAGAACATCAAAGTTTAAGTAAGCTGAAATGGCAGATTTGTATTTTGTACTCATACATTTTCATTTTTAAGTCAAATGTATGAATTAGTGTACTTAAACATTTCATGTAACTTCAATGTGAACATGTTCATTAGTATAAACTTAGCTAGCTGTAACAAGCTAATTCAGTAAATGCTAACTTTGTAATTTGTTAACATATTAACAATTGCATGGTATAGTACTTGCTGAATGCAGCATATAAAGCGTTTAGCGTACTTGATAGCATACTCAAACTAAGCCAAATGCACCACCTGTCACCATGACGGTAACTCTCCAAAAACCCACATTAACAGGAAGTCTTTTGCATATTTGAAACATTTGCATAACAAAAAATGAATCACTATTCACTACTAAATCTCCCACTTAACATTATTCTTGCACAAAAAATTTTTTTTAACCCCATTATATAACTCTTAATTTTAGCATTTACTCTTCCTTTCGGGTGCCATGGGCAAAGCAATAGAAATAGAAAATCCCAGCCCAGTTTCAGTTAAACTTAAGTTCGTCAAATTTCATAAAACTAAAAAAAAAACCACAGTTCAGTTTACTTACAATATATCAGTTCTGTGAACTTGAAAGAAAAAGAAAGTGCTAAATAGTCATAAAAGTTCATTTGACTGACCTAATTTGTTTAATTTAAGTTGGTCCTACTCAAACCAATTAATTATTTTACAGTGTGGTTATTATTTATTGTTTCTAACCCTAAAGCGCTATTATTTACATCACGTCACAGTAAAATTAGAATCCGTATGCTAATAATTTGAAAAGATGACTGGTATTTTCACCTAAGGTGTGTTCAAACTTGTAGTTCGGTTCTCTTGATACATTTAGTCCTGGTTTGAGTTCATACGATTATTTTTAGCACCAAACATAAAGATGCAAAACAGAAACAGCATTTTATGACATATTTTGCGGTGGAATTTAGTGAACATCAAAAACAATGTGGTGTGTTGGACTAAATGCGCTCTATGTATGTGCGTACCTATGATGGTATTTTCGTTGGGAACCGGATCGAGACTCAGCGGTCTCGGCCCGCTTGTTTGAGGTTCAGATGACATTCACACTTATTCAAATGAACCGCACTAACAGAGTAATCGCACCAGAGTTCATATTTATCGAACCAAATTTACCAAGTTTGAACATGTCCTTAGTTTCTTTATGCCTTGAAATAATGCTGCCTTCATATGGGAAACGGGAGTAATAATTTAGATAGCACATATGAAGTCATAATCATGTTCAAGTGCTTTTATTGTCTGATAAAATAGGAAACATGGAGAACTCCAGGTTTGTTGTAGCATATGCATTTAGGAAGTCATATTTTGACACTGTAATGCATGTTAAATCAGTGTGTGTGTGTGAGAGAGAGACACTGGTGGGTCTTCTCTTGGAAAAACATGCTCATTTAAATGCATGCTCTTTTCTTTGTGGAATTTAATCTACATCAAATACTCATTTATTTTCCCAGTCATAATTACTTCAGGGGGCGTATGTGTAACTTCAGAGTTGGGAACTTGTATTTATGATAATTTTGAAATCCTGAAAGCACATGAAGGCAGCATAAATCACAGTAGAATCAAAAATATATATTACCCCAAAAGGGGGGTTAAGGTCAGTGCAAAAATGGCTCATAATGGCCTTAACTTGAAGATAATGGCACACAAAATTGGTTCATATTTCTGTACTTTATGCTAAGTGTAAAATTAATCAAAATTTACAGTCTTTCTCTTCCAACAATCAATGATTTTGATGTAAAGAAAATGCTATTGGCTGTAAAAAGAAACAAGCTCTTTGACATGTCCTGCCCTGACTTCGTTTCAATCAGACATGTCAACACATTCTGAATATATATATATATATATATATATATATATATATATATACCAAAATGTCAGTAGTCGGTACCAACACCTAGGCGTAATAATCAAGAAACTTCACTGCCGTACCATGAGTGCAGCAGGCGTAATGATATGACGCAGCGCCTGAAAATAGGCCACCTTCCGTCAACACAACGGAACTATTTTCAGCCGCTGCATCATATCATTACGCCTGCTGCTCTCATGGTACGGCAGTGAAGTTTCTTGATTATTACGCAGGAATGAGAGTATAGTTCCTAGCCATATCAGCCTAGAAAATCGCAACTTTACATTTTCCGTCGGTCTTAGTGCACGATGTAACTACAGAAGAGTCAAGTTTTAAATAGGAAAAATATCAAAACTCTTTGGTCATTTTTTTTTAGAAATGCTAATGGTCTTGTCCACTTCAATGATGTATGCTAAGCTATGCTAAAAGTGGTACCGCCAGAACCGGAGATTGGCTGAATGGATTCAAAAACGGTAAAACTCAACAGTTTACCTCTGGGGGAGTTGTAAAATGAGGCTATTTCCAAAAAAAGTGGAGTATCCCTTTAAAGAGACAGCAGCCTAATATTCCTGCCGCCGTCTCTACAATAACTTTAATCAAACAACAAAAGACAGAGAAAATTCACTTGTTCTTGACTGAATAACTTTTGTAACTATATTTGTAATGTTATTTTACATTTGATTAGTTTCTGAACCTGAATATCTTGAGACACTGTTTATTTCAATCGTATATTTGTTTAGTTGTATTTGTTCTTTTTATTTGTTCTTTTTTTTAAACCATAGGCAAACATTTCTTGTGTAAGTGTTTTTAGCCTTTTGACTTTTGTTCATGATATTCAGATACAATTAAATGTTTTACAATAAGACTTAAAATAAAAGTGAATATCTAAGTTTTGGAATTGAAATTAGTAATCGATAAGTGGAATCGTTAAAATTCAAACGATACCCAGCCCTATTCCTTACCACTATATTTTATTAGATGTTTTATCATTTTAATGAAACCGGAATCGTTAGGCAGAACCGGAACCAGGGAAATTTTCCCAACCCGATTGTTTCCCAAAATTTTCTGATTCCCAACCCTACCGATGGTTTTCTGTACCAGAGCAAAAACTTTTAAATGAAGTACTTTAAGAAACGGTGTCCCGTTTTGTCTCATCCCTTGGTTATCCCTGTCAATCATGGCAGTTTCCGATTCAGTCGCACATTTTAAATACGGTTTTAAATCCAGAAAGCTCACTGAATTCATCCTTCTCGTGAAAACTCCTGTTATAATAAAAAAGCTCTCTTAATTGTACAACGAATCTATTATTTACATGGTGTTTACACTTTGTTTGTTTGTGTGACTCACGTTGGACAAAACTAAACCTGGTGTGTTTTCAGCGGTTAAGCAGATTCTGACTGACTTACTGAGCACCTCTGGGCAGCATTGGCCACGCTTAGCAGATATGATTGGCTACAATGCTCTACAATTATAAAAAACACGCTGTACATAGAAACAAACGCAAACTAGAGCGTTTGAAAGCAGCGTGTGCCATATACTCGGTACTGTAGAAATGTTGGTACCGTCAACTTAACAACCCTTTATATATAGTTTTTACCATTTTTCCAAAGATTTTTTTTGTTCATTCATGGGGTACAAATGGCACCATTTCCTGAGAATGAGCCTACTGTAATAAACACTGTTTTTAAGGGACAAGTATAGACATGTTTTTTTTTTTCCTCCGGACCCAGTTTGCAATTTGCATGGAGACGTTATTTGCTATTTTCATCTGTTTTAGACATGGAGGATTAGACATGTGTTTGTGTGGCTTTTTTGTTAATTTACTGTCATTTTTGATCATGAATTTACTTCGTTGATGCTGATATCTGCAAGCGCTTTCTAATACTAGTACTCTGCATCTAGGGGTGAAGCCATTTGCTTGCACAATGTGTGATATGAGGTTTTTCCAACGCTACCATCTCCAGAGACACACCATCACCCATACGGGTATGTGTCGTCTCTTTGTACCCCTCTGCTGGTTTTCTTCAGCATGTTGAGCAAATGAACATAAATTAATGTTCAAAATGATGAGCTTTTGCCATTTATATGTTTGAGAGTTTTGTAAGAGGAGCAGTCAAGCACCACATTTCCCGCAATACACCCATAGAGCATCAGTCATGGGCTTTTACATGAAGGAAGAATTTCTTAATTTCAAGTTTGAGAAAATTACAGTAGTTCATGTCTGACTTAGGCTAAGAATAGAATATATTTTGTACTTGTTATTTGGAAGACGCTAATCTTTCAGAAAATGCTAGTAGGTAGTTAATTTACTCATGCAAATATGCATTATCTTTAGTCTCTTTGTGAGAGAACAAAAAGGTTTTCAGGGAATCATATATAGGCAATAGTCAGCAGTGCTCGCTTTTTGCTGCAATATTTTGAAAGAACATTTTCAGTTGTTTTAGAGGATGAAGTACAACTACAGTCAATTAATGATGGGAGAGATTTCTGTATTTGGCAGTAATTATGAAAATATGAATTTCCAATTTTGACCTTAATGCACTTTGTTGGAGAGTTAATGTTTAATTGGACTCTTTGTGAACTTAGAACTAACTAACCATGATGTTGTACTAACATAAAAGGGTCAGAATGTAACATTAGGCTGTTATCTTTGATTCTTAGATGGATGTTTAGATGATGCGTTTGGTTAATATTTTGCTTTGGTCATTCAGGGGTGAAGCCGTATGCTTGTTCCATGTGTGACATGCGTTTTTTCCACCGTTACCATCTGCAGAGACACAGCCTCACTCACACGGGTATGTGTCTTTCTGTCTTCCCCCCCCTTAGATGATATCTGAGCTACTGCCATTGTGTAACAGAAAATAGGAAGTATGCAATTTCAGTTTTAATCAGTACATTAGGAGAACTGGAGCATTGACGAATTGTAAAAATGTATTTATTTATATTAAACTAATGTGCTCTTGGGTTAAAGTGCACACTGTCAGCTAGGCTTGACATTACAGATGTATACATTTCTATAGTTTAATATTTATTGTGCTAATGATTTTTTCAGAAACAATAATTTATTATTATTATTGATATGTAAATAATGACCATTCTGTTTCACGTCCATATTCACATACGCCTATTTATTGCTTCTGTAGAACACCAAAGTAGATGTTAGGTAGATTAAGGGCTTGAAAGACTCAGTCATATTCACTTTTTTTCAATTGAATTAAAGTGAATGGTGACTGAGGCCATTTTTGAGGAAGAAATCTTGCATGGAATATTTTGCGTATATGCACATAAATTAAGTATTCTGTGAAAATAAAATGTAAATAATGTATTAATAGTAAACGCTGTACAGCCCTGCTTTAGCTCTCTTGCTTTTTTTTTCTAACTCCAATGCTGTCTTGCACAGGGACGTTTACAGTCAATGCACAACAATCAGATTAAAGGAATAGTTCACCCAAAAATTAAAGTTATCTCATAATTTACTCACTCTCAAGCCATTCTTGGTGTGACTTTCCTCTTTCAGCCGAACACAATCGGAGTTATATTAAATAATATCCCGCCTCTTCCCAGCTTTGTAATGGCATTTAATAGTTTGTAGTTTTTGAAGCTCTTAAAAAAAGTGCATCCATCCATCATAAAAGTAATCTATACGACTCCAGGTGGTTATTAAATGCCTTCTGAAGCAAAGCTAAGCGTTGTTGTAAGAAACATATCCATATTTAAAACTTTATTATCACTGGTTTCCGGCCACACGAGAGAGTCGAGTTCCAGCGGAAGGGTGACCTCTGACCTTGACGTATGACGCAGCGTAACCCTAGGTAAGAATTAACGAACCGCCATATAGATAGAGCAAAACAAAACGCCGGTCACTAATTAGAAGCCTTAAACTATTTTTTTTTAAGAAAAAATGTCAGAGGATTTCAATATAAGTAAAGGAGCTACGTCAAACATCGGGTCAGGGGTCGCCCTTCCGCTGGATCTCGAGACTCTTGTGAACGCACGTATGGTCGTTGCCGGAAGCAAGTGATTTATAGTTTATTAAGCTTTAAGTATGAATTTTTTCTATGCCTAAAACTATAAGCTCATAGTTGACACTTTAACCCAGAGTTTTTAGCTTTTAGCAGTTCAGAACCCAAGCAAAGTTATTTCCACATTTCTAAGCTCTAATGTCTAGTAGATGTTCAGTTTGTCAGCTGCTCTTAGCATTGTGTTTGGCTGATGAGACTGTAGTGAATTTTTATTTTTTATTTTTTATTTTTTTGCAATGTTGTATATGTTGAGCAGTGTTCATGAGTGCTTGGTTTTAGTTTACATGTGGCGGTGAGGTTAATACACTGCTACTCTGTGCATTCAGGGGTGAAGCCTTATGCTTGCACCATGTGTGACATGCGTTTTTTCCAACGTTACCATCTACAGAGACACAGCCTCACCCATACGGGTAGGAGAAATCTCTGTTTATATATTATTATGAATTGCCTCTCAAAGCTCTCAGTATGTTACAGAGAGAGACACAATCTGTTAAAACTACAACAAACTCGAGTTTGTATTTTCATAATTGCTTAAAATATGTATTCAGCAGGCATGAAATGAAAGAAACAGTCCATGCTGGTGATAATGCCGCCTCTTTTTTTCACTTTAGTTTGGGAAACACATATTCACTATTAACTATGATTTTTACCTCAATAAACTTCTAATTGGCTGATTATTAATAGTTGGTAAGGTAGTTGTTAAGTTTAGGTATTGGGTAGGATTATGGTCATGCACAAAAATACATCACTATGTGCTTTATAAGTACTAATACAGCCAATATCCTAGTAATATGCAAGCTAATTAGCTAATAGTGAGAATTAGACCCTAAACTAAAGTGTTACCAAACTATGTTTGTTAAAGACATCATAAAGCATATCTGTTTTACTGGAAATGTTAAAGAGGAGGTGATTATCAACAGAGGTGGTTAACAACTAATACTTTGTGTCACACAAACATTTTTATGTTAAATATAAAATAAATATAATACACGATTAATACATCTAACTAAAGCATCTGCTTTGAAATTAAGTTCTGCAGATGCACTTGCTATGAGCAGTATTTTTTTACCCATAAATGCTATATTAATAGAAAGGCATGCCTGAACTGTTGGTGCTCTGTGCATTCAGGGGTGAAGCCGTATGCTTGCTCGATGTGCGACATGCGGTTTTTTCAGCGTTACCACCTGCAGAGACACAGCCTCACTCACACGGGTATGTGTCATCTCAAACCCCTGTCTTTTTGTACTTAAAGTTGGTTTTCTGCATGCCAAATGACTTTCGATTCGGTTTGCGCAGCAACCATTTTCAGATTTTAAAATCAGAGTCAGTGACATTTAATAATTCAACAAATACAGGTGAAACTCGAAAAATTTGAATATCGGCCAAAAGTTCATTTATTTCAGTAATTCAACTTAAAAGGTGAAACTAATAAATTATATAAACTCATTACATGCAAAGTGAGATATTTCAAGCCTTTATTTGTTATAATTTTGATGATTATGGCTTACAGCTTATGAAAATCCCAAATTCAAAATTAGAATATTGTGAAAAGGTTTTCATATCTGTAAGCCATAATCATCACAATTATATTCAATATTCAAATTTTTCGAGTTTCACTTGTAGTGCTACTACTTTAGGCACTATTTTTATTTCTTACTTCACACTATGGTACTGAGAACAACTATCCCATTACTATGACCTGAATAAATACTTAAATTGATTTTGAAATGAGATTAGCATAAATGTATCTTTAGTTTTATTTTTTTGAGAGTGAGGTGAAGCTTTATAGTGAACCTTTGTGGCTAAAGTTTGATTACTACAGAAGATCATTTTGACACGTCCCTCATGAACTGATTAAAAAGGAGCCCCAGAAACATCTTTTTACTATATTGCTTAGAAAGATTTCTTTCCATTTAAAACCATCCAAATGCGAACTGAAATGGACATAATAGTCGTGTCCCCGTTCAGAGGCTGCATCCTTCGAAGTCCGCGAAGCTCGAACCTAACGTTGTTAAATGGGACGCTCTAGCATACGGAGGATTGTTCATGTGGCCTAGAAGCTGTGCCAGTAACGTTTCTTTCTTTGACTTTTTATATTCAACTGTCTGTAAACAAAACAGGGTTCAAAACCTGTCTATATAGGTTCTCTAGAGCTGCACGATTAATCGTTAAAAGATTGTGATCTCTATTTAAACTCCCACACAATCTCATTCCTAAATGACAACGATTTGCCTGTGTCTATTAAACCTTTGACAAAATCACACAGAAACATTCAGATCTGTGTTTGCACTGCCGCTGATCCAGAGAGAACAGTCAAAATAGAGTAAATCCCCTTATAAAAGTAACTTGACCCTTCAAATAACGATTGAATCAATTAAATTGTAACGCTAGCAGGTGGCATCAAGTGACTGTTAATAATGTATTTGTCATTAAATCATTTATTCAAGAGATTAGTTCAAAAAACGCTGATTCAACAAGTGAAGTCTTTATGAGTGAGTCATTGAATCATTCATTGAATTTTTTTTTTTAAATAAGTCATTCAGATTCATTAAACATTTTTAGCATTTTCTCAAAAAAAAATCCAGTCGTCACTGGCGTGCAATGCATCTTGGGATAGACGAGTTCTGTCCTCAGTGGGCCGGGAAACGAAGGACGCATGTGTAGGCCACATTCGAAAGAGCCTTTGAAACGGGACAGCCGCCGTGACGCATTCGGCTCTCGAAGGATGCAGCCTCTGAATTGGGACACGGTTAACGTCAGCATGCAGATCAATAATCAATCAATAGAATGTTCTACATTTTTAAACGGTATTCAAATTGTTTGGTGCTTTGAATGTTTTGTAAAGACATTCACTAAAAATTGACTCTACGTTTAGGGGTGAAGCCATATGCTTGTTCGATGTGCGACATGCGGTTTTTCCAACGTTACCACTTGGAAAGACACAGCCTCACTCACACTGGTATGTGTCCTTTCTTTGTAACCCAATTTACTAAGTATTCCTGGATTGGAGTTTGTCTATTTTGTGTGTTTGGGGGAAAAGAAACAATGAGATAACAATGACTTTAACATTAGTTAGAATAGGAACTCTTACTTTTGATATTAATTAACCATATCCTGCATCATATAATATTTGCATTAACATGAAGACATTTAAAAACATTTTTACCTGCACTTGGGGGGCGAGTTTTGCGAGTCATTTCAGACTTACTTGGTGGCATCAATGTCTATGTAGGTGCTCTTGCCTCGTTTCTCCGTGTGTTTTTTTGTTTTTTTGTCTGTCCTAAAGGGTTAGTTCACCCAAAAATGAAAATTCGGTCATTAATTACTCTCTCATGTCGTTCCAAACCCGTAAGACTTTCGTTCATCTTCGGAACACATGAAGATCTTTTTAAGGAAATTGCGCAAACAAACGCGCATTTCGTGATTAATATTCTGTAAATAAAGTCTGTAAATGGAGGGACAGAAAGCTCTCAGACTCAGATTACACCAAAAAGATCTTCATTTGTGTTCTGAAGATGGAAAAAAGTCTTACGGGTTTGGAACGACATGAGGGCGAAAAATTAATGACAGAATTTTCATTTTTGGGTGAACTAACCCTTAAGGGGTGCAAAAACAGAGACAAAATGACGCTAGCTGTTTCTTTTTAAACATTTTAATGCTCAATCGTATTTATTCTCCAAACAGAAAGAGTAAAACCAAGTCTCAAAGCAGGTTTCTGATCTTTAAAACCAAAACCCCAGTGTGCCACTTTACAATCGAGCAGTTTTTCATTCCATATTAAACACACTCTACAAACTCGAGTTTGTATGAAGTCATCTACTTTATTTCTAAGCATGGATATACTCTATTTAAAGCTTCATGGAAACCCATATGACAATCACAGTCTCGATCCTTACATGACAATCGGTGTTTCAGAGTCTCTGTTGTGTGTTGTTGTGGCATGCTGTGAGAATGAAGGTGTGGGGCGCTTTAATAAAGACTGTTTTTCTCTGACAGGAGAGAAGCCGTTTGCATGTGACATGTGTGACATGCGGTTCATTCAGAGGTACCATCTGGAGAGACACAAGCGTGTTCACAGTGGTGAAAAGCCTTACCAGTGTGAGCGCTGCCAGCAGGTAAGATCACGCTTTATACATGGGGTTTGTAAGCCAAGACAACATCTATAATTCATACTGTAGTTAAATAGAAGAATACTGAAAGTTGTTGTTATTAAGCTTTTTACATTGAATCAAGGCTATTCACCGCACACATATTGTCAGGGAAAATAGTTCAGTGGTTGTTTGTGTTCTCCTTTGTGTTACATTTTTTTAAAAAGTGCTAGAAATGGATAGCCTGGATGCCAGCCCGAACCCCGCCCACAACATTTTTTGGTCGGGAAGTTCGGTCTGGACTCGATCCATTGAGGGGTAAGTATGATCGGTTCAAAATTAGTCGGGCCAATCAAATTGCCAGGGCGGGCTTTATAAGATGATGGACAGATGATCTGCAATTACGTAATCATCAGCGCTTGGGTTGAACTGGTTTCCCTCAGAGATGACTGCAGCTGGAGAACTGAGATGTATAGATTCCTCTATCGCGTCTGTTGTAAAAGTAATCGACAGCGCATTAACTTTAAAAGACGAACAGAGAACTGCAATCAAGGCATTTGTCGATCGGAAAGATGTGTTTGCCGTCCTTCCTACGGGATTCGGCAAAAGTTTATTTTATCAGCTGGCTCCGATGGTCGCTAAGAAGATGGGACGCAATAAAAACCCTGTGGTCGTTGTGGTTTCTCCTTTGGTCGCACACTCGCACTCATGGAGGACCAAGTAAAAGAAGCAACACTCATTATTTTACTACTTCTTCCAGCGTGAGTGTAGTTGAGTTCTGCTGTTGAAAAAACACTTACTGCGTTGCTCTGATTGGTTGTAGGTCTATCCAATTGAGTGCAGTTTTTTTTTTTTTTCTGGTTCGGTTAAGAAACGTCTCATAATCAAAGCCCTATGGAGCAGTATCAGACTCACGTCTGACTAGAATATGAGAATGACGAAGTCAGGCTAAGAAATGGACATTATCCAGCCAGAGCTCATAGCTGCAATGATAGAGAGCTTGCTTTGATACTTGTTTGTCTTTGATTTTATGCCTTAATTCAATTTATATACAATTTTCCCATAGAATATAAAAATACTTGTTTGCATATAATATGAGGTAGGTATTTTATATTATTTAAGCATCTGGAACCTTATCAGTTTGACAGAATTTTCTATTACAAAGTGGCATGGTAAGCCAATCTATCTTGACTGAAAGGTCACTAATTACTCGCCCTCAAACACAAATTAAGATCTTTTTAATGAAATCTGCACTTTCTGTCCCTTCATTGACAGCGAGCGACGACCACTCCCAATCCCCAGAAAGGTAGTAAAGTGAAATTAAAGTAATCCATGTCACTCAGTGGTTTAACCTCAATTTTATGAAGCGCCGCGAGTGCTTTTTTTTTTTTTCAAAACAACAATTTACCACTTTATTTACAAAATATGAATCTACATTGCGCGTTCATGAGAGCATCACGATGCATGCGTGTTGTTGATACAGTTCACTGCTGATATGAATGCAGTCGTACTAAATTGACCTGCTGGCATATGATTGGATCAAACTGTGTGTTTGTGTGTGTTCTCACTCACTTTCCTGACAGAGGCATGAGGTGGTTTTTCAGGCAATTTGTAAAAGTAATATTTCTTTCAAAACTGCTATGGAAACAGTTTATTTCGCATTTACAGGTCACCTGGCGTACTCAAGTCAATCATTCTTTAAAGAAGGCGCGTTATGTTTGGACAAAAGATGAGACCGAGTTCTTTAATAAACTCATAAAAGACAAAAGTATTACAGTAATACTGGATTCTAAACGACAAAGAAATGCCACATTCAAGACCTCGAAGCAGAAATGAGGGAGAAACACCCAGAAACACCTCATATGTGCCGCTCCCAAGTATAAGGGGATTTCATTGCCATTAATGCTGGGATAACACACATGCGTCTCCTTCCATTAATAATAACGGCTAGTGCGGTGACTTAGCCTGGTTAAAACCAGACCATTCTCAGTTGTAACTGAGTTATGGTCTGGCAAAGCGTCATAGACAAATCATTTCCAGAGGGGCGTCACCAACGGACGTCGCGGACAGACCTAAACCCAATCAGAGCGATGAAGGAGATGACGTATGCAGAGCGAGTGTTGTTCTTTGCTCGGTTTGGAAATGGGTTTGAATGAGCTCTTTGCCAGACTAACTTTCAGAGCAAATCTAAATTAGCCGGAAGTTGTCTGGGTTTTCCCAGGCTAGCGGTGACTGGGATCTACGTAAACCTACCGACATCCATTGCCATGATTTTTGGAATGACTTATCACGAGAGGAAAATAATTACGTTTTAGTCGTATAACATCAGTTAATGTAAATGTAAATGGCGTCATTTCGCAATAGGTTTTTTATCGACATTTAGAAAATATCGCAAAAGTTTTGCGCAAATCTGTAATGGAAAGCCGGCTTATGTGTATCTACCGCGCTGGTATAAGCCTACGTCTCCGCCGGTTTCAAAACACGTCTCCGTCATATTGTCATTTTCTGCTGGTCCGGCACATTGCAACAACAACACAACCTTGTTTCTGCAGTGACTTTCAGCGTGTGTCCTATAACAACGTCTGACGCTTACGTTTTACGTGGCGTGAGAACGACACAAACCACGCAAAGTCCGATCAGAGCGGTCAGACTGAAACAGGTTTCCAGAAAAGCCATTTTAATACGATTTCAAACCACATATAAATGTAGCCTGAAACGGGTTTGTAAAAATCGTATTTCATCTGATTTTTTTTTTTTTTTGCCGTTCACATTAAATCGGATCGGATTTCAATCGGTTATGCACAAAAATCGACCCTAGCCTAACGCACTGCAAGCAGAGATAATGTGTATCTCATTGTCTTACCTGGCAACATGGGTACACAGCGGCAGCTTGAGGACAGAAGTCTACCACGGTTCAGACCCAAATAATATAATGTGAACGGAGACCGGCAGCGGGGCTAGGGGGGTGGGAGCAGTCGAACTCTGGTTTGGACCAAGCAATCAAACCAAGTGTGAATGAGCACAAGGGAGTAGAGTTGTCAAAATTTGTTACAATTGTGATAATAATAATAATAATAATAATTCATTACATTTATATAGCGCTTTCTAGGCACTCAAAGCGCTTCACATGGAAGGGGGAATCTCCTCAACCACCACCAATGTGCAGCATCCACTTGGATGATGCGACGGCAGCCATAGTGCGCCAGAACGCCCACCACACACCAACTTACTGGTGGAGAGGAGACAGAGTGATGAAGCCAATCAGTGTATATATATATGGGGATGATTAGGAGGCCATGATGGACAGAGGCCACTGGGCAAATTTGGCCAGGATGCCGGGGTTACACCCCTACTCTTTCGAAAGACATCTTGGGATTTTTAATGACCACAGAGAGTCAGGACCTCGGTTTAACGTCTCATCCGAAGGACGGTGCTATTTGACAGTATAGTGTCCCCGTCACTACACTGGGGCGTTAGGACCCACACAGACCACAGGGTGAGCGCCCCCTGCTGGCCTCACTAACACCTCTTCCAGCTGCAACCTGGTTTTCTCAGAAGGTCTCCCATCCAGGTACTAACCAGGCTCAGCCCTGCTTAGCTTCAGTGGGCAACCAGTCTTGGGCTACAGGGTGAAATGGCTGCTGACCGTATCACCCTGTAGCCCAATGCTTTGATGCTTTGAGCGCTGTTGAGCCGAATCGTAAACACCCCGATTGGCCATTGTGTTCACGCGCTCATCGGATATGTCTGCGATTGGCTACAATGATCAATTCACGGAAGCGTTTGAAAGTGTTTTAAAAAACGGGAGCGTTTGAAAGCACAGGCAGGCGTCTATCACCGGATCGCTCCCGTGTGTATCAAGCGCTCGGTG